CCTAATTGAATAAAACAGGGGGCTAATCGAGCCTACAGCGGCCCTGTGAGCTGACGGCCTCCCCCTAGGGGCCCAGTGGGGGGAGCCTCCCAGCGGCCCCACCGCCAGCACCCGGCCTCCCAACAGAAACGTCGGGACCGGGTCCGCAGCCCCGTGCTGTAACTCAGGGTTCTCAGGAGCCATGGGGCCCCGGAGGGTGGGGGGGGGCGCGGCTCAGCCCGCACCTGCTCCCTGCCCACTGCCAATAGTATGTGCAGGGTGGCCCGGTGGGTGTCCGGTGGTGAGGACCTTCCCCTGGGAGCCTGCTCGGAGGTCACCCGACCAACAGGACTTGGCACCCGCCCCCGCCCACAGGCCTGGGCGCCCAGGCACACCCGCGGGGCCAGTGGTGGAGCCAGAGCCTGCCGGCACTCAGCGCACTGCCGCAGGGCACCTGGCCTTGGCCGCCAGCCCTGCACCCCGCCCCTCCTCCGTGGCCTCGGTGTTTTCGCCCGAAGCGGGGCGAGTCGCTCGACTCCTGCCGGACATTTCCTGGCACTGCTGCCCTTCTAGGCTTCCAGACAGGAGGCTGCCATCCTGGCTGCGGGGAGAGAAGTGGTGGAAGGGGCAGGCTTTCCCTGGCCAGCGAGAGAAGGGCAGGGCCCAGCAGAGCCCGAGCCCTGCTGCTTTCTGCTTCGGAGAAGGAACCGGCTAGGAGCTCAGCCTCCAGCCAGGCTCCCCACACCCTGTCACACACGTCACCCTGAAGATGCACACACAGGACACACCATGTCCGGCATCAAGCAGAGGTAGCACTCCCACCTCCACCCCAGGGGGCCAGGTGGCAGTTGTCCCCAGGACACTATCCCCAGGCCTGGACTATGTCATGTCTAGTTGTCTTAGTACATCCATGGTGATCAGGTCTTGGGGCGGCTCTGATGGGGGCTCTCTGAGAGCACATCGTCTCGTGCACAGGGCCCCCCAGCTGTGCTACAAGGCCAGGAGGGCACCTGGGCTGTGTAGACCCCCATACCTGCCCATTTGGCTCACAACAGTGGCAGAAACACAAAGCTTTTGTTAGGCGTTTTGTGTTTAAATGTAGGGCAGGGACAGCCCCGATTCCCCACAGGCCAGCAAGCGCCCTGGCCTGTGTGAGGGGACCTGGACCTACCTGCCTTCACTCTGTCCCCAGCTGCCTAGGCTCACTCTGAGAGGTGGTGAGCACCTCAGGGGCCTCTGTCCTTGGAAAGCTCAACTCACAGCCCCCAGGGTGGGCCCCAGAAGTGCCACCAGCTCAGTCTGCATGCAAGCCCCGCAGGGAGACCCCTGGAGTGGGGTCCTAGTGAAACACAAACAAAATTACAGCCACAGATGCAGCCTCCGGGGCAGTCCTCAAGCTCTGACTCAGGGGTGACACTCACTCACTCACTGACCAGGTTGTCCTTCTGCTCCCCGCACATGGCTTCAGGCACAGCCCAGCCCTGCATCCAGGCCTATAACCGTGACCTCTCTTTCTTCCCCCAGCCCCCTGCCCCTGGCCGCAAAGTGGCTTGCAGGAGGAGGTTCTCCTGGCAGCACTGGGGCTGCCCTGCTGCCTCAGATTCAGGTAATGGAGGCAGGTCCCCAGGGACCTCCACATCTGCTTAAAATATTGTCCTATGAAATGAAATTCCTCAGCGGATCCTGTGCTCCGTTTTGGGCAGGCAGCTGTGGCCCTGTGCTGGCCTCAGCCACCTCTTCGGGCAGGGCTGGGGACAGCTGTCCCGGCTGTGAGGGGTTTCCAGCGCTTGCTCCTGCGGGCTCCAGCAGGGTCTGGGCCGGACACACTTGTCCCGCTTTGGCTCCTTCTCACCAAGGACTCCCAGGACAGGGAGACCTGTGCTCTGCCCTATCTTCGATTCTGGTCCCCTGGTCTCAGGGCCAGGCACCCATTCCAAGTGGTGAGAAGAGCCAGCAGGGCCCTCTTCCCCACCTGTTGGGGTGGAGCAGGCAGGGAGCCGAGTCGAGTGCAGGACGCTTGGCTGTTTCCAGGGCTGCGCTGGGGGCTCTGAGCCGCCTCTCGCTTACAGCGAAGGCCCAGCCAGAGCGCGGCTGCACGTCCCACCGTAGGGCTCCAGCCGCAGGTCCTTCCTCGGCCAGAGCCTGACCCGGGCAGCCTGCAGCCCAGGAATGAGGCTCAGAAAGCCGCCGTGCTCACACACCAACACCCACACCCCCAGGCCTGCGGGCCCACAGGTAGCGGGCACCCAGCCCTGGCGCACCAGCCACAAAACACTGGGGCCTTGTTCGCACCAAGAGGGGCCAGAGGTCAGGGGAGACGGAGGAGGCCGAGGCCCCGAGCACGGGGCAAGGGAGACGGCCGGAAAGGTGCGCCTCCAGGAGGAGCCCCACACAACTCGGGGGCTCCGGGGCGTCCTGCCTGCGCGGGGAGCTGCTTTTCCCCGGTGCTCCATGGCGCACGCCGGGCCTAGCCCCGCGGGCCGCTGTCCCGGGAGCCAGGCCGACCCAACCACGACAGCACAACTTCTTCGGAAAGTGTCGGAGTTCCCAGCCCACCAGGCTCGTGCTCGGGGGCTCAGCCCCGGTGCGGGGAGGCTCGGCCGGCCAGGGTCAGGCGGGAGAGGGGCGGGCGGAGCGGCCTGGTGGTCGCGCGGGGATCCCAGGGGAGCTGGCCTGGCGGCCCCGGCGTGGGTGGGCGGGCGGCCGGCGGAGGAGCGGGCGGCTGGCACCGCGGCGCCGGTTCGTCCCCGCGCGCCGCTCCCGCTTCGCTGCAGCCGGGCCTCGGCCGGGGCTTCGGGAGCCGCGCTCTCCCCGCCGCGGCTCCGCCGCTCCCACCTGCCCTCCGCCGGGGCCGCGGTCCCGGGCCCGCGGGCCTCCCCGCCGGTGGCGCCAGCGGTCCGGGAGTGGAGGGAGCGCGGGGGGCCCGGGCGCGGCGGCAGGCGGCGGGGCGGGCGGCGGGCGCACCGGGCCGGCGGCGAGGACCCGGCGGGCGGCGGGCCGGGCGCGCGGAGCTCGGGGCTCGGCCCGACACGGAGCGAAAGAGAAAGTAAGAGCGGGGACCGGGCAGCGTCGCCGCGGGCAGCTCCGTCCCCTCCGGGCCTCGGGGCTGCGCGTGCGGCCGGGGCGCGGGGGGCGGCGGCGGCGGCGGGAGGCGGGAGGCGGCCGGGCGGGGACCCTCCCGCCGGAGCACGGGCTCCCTCCTGGGCCGGCCGCGCGGGTGCCGGAGTCCCGGAGTCCCGGAGTCCCGGAGTCCCGGAGGAGCGCCCGCCGCCGCGCGGGGCACCGGGCGGGAATACACTTGGCGGCCGCGGGGCCGGCCCCGGAGGACGTGTCGGTGTTGCCGCCCAGGCGACCGGGCTGTCGCGCCGCCGCCCCTGCCCTGCGCCCGCGAGGCGCGGTGGACGCCGGCCCGCGCCCCCTCCTCCGCCCCCTCCCCGGCTCGGGGTCTCCCTCCTCTGCGCCCAGCTGGCGGACGCCAAAGGCGGTGCTCTAGCGCCCACTATTTCAAAAGCCCGGAATATGATTTGACCAGGACTGAGAGCCACTCCGAGAGAGAGAGGGAGAGAGCGAGCGAGGAGGAAAAAGTTGCTCTCCCCTTTCGTCAACTTTTCGCTAACTTTCGCTTTTCGCTCCCCTCCACCCCCAGCCCTCCCCCTCCGCCCCCCTCCCCGGCCCCCACCGCGCGCCTCGGGTTCCCGGGCCCGAGCGCCTGACACTGGGGGGGGGAGGGGGTTCGCGAGGAGGGGGCCGGCGCCTTCGGGGAGCGCGCGGCCCGGGCGCCCCGAGCCTCTGCGCCGAGCCCGGCCGCCCCGGAGCGCGGGAGGCGGAGCAGCCCCCGGGCCGCGCGGCCGACCGGAGGGCCGGGAGCCCAGGGCGCGCCGGCCGCGCCCCGACGCGCACCCCTGGCCCGGGCGCCCCGGCCCCGCGGCCCGGACCCGGCGGCGCGGCGCGGCCGAGCGCGGGAGACTTACTTTTGGCTAGCTTCCTCGCCCTCGCCTTGGATCGCATGGTGTCGGCTCGCGGAATCTCTCTCCTCCTCCTTGAGTCCAGAAGCAGCTACACACTATCTTCATCTCCCCAGCATTGTCAGTTTGGACACCTTCGCACATGCGCACACAGCACTCAATCTGACACCCCTCGCCGGGGCCAAAAAAACTTTGCAATGTATTCATCATCCTCATCGTCGCGCCGCCGTCGCCGCCGCCGCCTCGGCGCGGGATTGGGGGGCTCTCCTCGGCCTTCCCGGTCTTCCTCTCACTTATCTCTCCCCCCCCCCGCCCCCTCTCCCCCCTCCCCTTTCCAGCGCAGCTCGGAACTGGCCCTTTAAGAACACATTCCGTGCTCGGCGCTCCCGCCCGGGGCCCGCACCCCGGACACTTTAAAAGGACCCAGGTGGCCCCGGAGGCGAGGTGACGATGCCCCCACCCTGCCCCTGCGCCGGCCGCGGGCGGAGTGGCGGCGGCGCGGGTCCGCGCCCCTTCCCAGGACGGGGGGGGGGACGGCGGGGGACGCGCCCACAGTTCGGACGCGGGTCTGGCTGGGTTGGCTCCGTTTTATGGCATTTTATTCCTAATTAAAAAGCTTTGCGTCCCGCGTCGCCCCGGCCTGCTCTTCTCCCCGCGTCTCCCCGCGGCCCCCGCCCCGCCCCGCCCCCGCCCGAGGGGGTGTCCCCGCCGCGCGCGCCGATCCCGGCTCCGCCGAAGCCTCCTCGGGAGCCCCCTCCGGGCCCCGCCGCCCCCCTCGGCCTGCCCGGCTCCCGCCCCTCCCCTTCGCCCCCACCCCAGCGCTGCTGCTCCGGGCTCCGCGGCTCAAAAACAACAGCGGTGGCGCCGCCAGCTCCGCGCTCCGCCACAATCCCGGCGGCCGGGGACACTCGGACCCGCCGCGCTCCGTCCGCGCGGAACCGCGGAGAGCCGCGCGCGCGGGCACCGGGGAGGCTGCGCGGGGGGCCGGCGTCCGAACCCGGCCACCGCGGGGGCGGGCCCCAGGTGAGTACCCGCCGCGCGAGCCCCCGAGCTGGGCCACCCTCGGGGAAGGGGCCACTCGCGGCCCAGGTGAGGAGCGGGCGGGAGGGCCGGCGGAGCAGGTGGCAGTGCGAGGGCGGGAGCTGACCGGGTGCTTCTACCTCGCAGCCCTCCGACGCGGAGGGGAACTCGAAACGTCCGGGCCAGGGGGCTGGGAACTCCTCCCGTGTGTCTGAGATTGGAGAGGGACATGGGGGCCGACGCAGGCGCTGACCCCGGCCCTGCCGGGGACGCGGGCTCTGCGGGCTCAGGGACCTAAAGCTGCCCCGGAGTCAGCCTGAGCGGGGCAGAGGTCGAGCCTTTGCTGGGGTCTCTGCAGCCGCGGGTGGGCTCCTGGCTGTGCGCCACTCCCCGTTGTGCCCCATTTGTCGTTCCGTGAGACGAGTGGTGCCCGCGCGGAGACCTGCATGCGGCACCCGAGCCCTCGCCACGGGAGAGGTGAACGGGTAAGGGCGGAAGGACTAACACGGAGACCCTGGAGTCCTAGCGGAGGCGCTCAGGATGGCGAGGGGTGTGTGGCCGGTGCTACCCCCGAGGAAGAGTTCCACAGAACAGGGCTTGGCGGGAGCCAGAGGCGGCGGTGCGCCGGGCCTTCCCGCCTCCGCACTTCACAGCTGCCTTCCTGTCTGAATTCAACTGGCCGGAGCGTCCACGGTTGGTTTCAGGGGTGCCCAGCCTTGCACTCTGCTTGCAGCCCCAGACGGAGAAGGCACTCTCCGCCCTGCTGTTTCTCCCTGAACTGAATGCAGCCTCCACTGTTTCTGGCCCTAGGTGAGTGTTGACCACCGGCACCAACAGGGGCGCCAGGGGCAGCTCAGTCCCCTTGCCTGAGTCCTTCTGAGGGTCTGTCCCCCGCACCCCACACTCTGCCTGTCCCCGTGGGCTTCGTGGAGAACTGCGCGGTCAGAGGCTCCTTGGGCCTTGCCGCCAGGTTCTGGGGTTTGGGTGGGCCACCCCTAGCAGGCTCAGAACCCACTCAGTCTCAAGGTGAGGGGTCACTGGGAGAGGAAGGAAGGAACCTGGAGCTCAGAACTGGGAGTTGTTCTGCTTACCCCAGCCAGGGCAGGCTTTAGCCCATGGACCTCACCTGGCTGTCACCACTGGCCAGAAACAACACAAGGTCACCCTCCTATCTCAGCCTCCCTGGTCCCCCTTGCTGGAAGCCTCCTAGCAAGTTTGGGTAGGAGGCCTGGGGGGAATAGGGTGGTGCCTTCGAAGTACTCCCACCTGCACAGAAGGTCCTACCCTATCCTCCACCCCCCACCCAAGTTCAGGCTTCCTTTCCCTCTGGCCTGGAGGCAGCCCAGTAGACTCCAAGTTTCAGAAGACCCAATCTTCTTCTGGGGGCACCCCAGCTCACTCTGGCCCTCTGTCTCAGCTCGGAAGGTGATTAAAATCTTCTGGATCCTGGCCAAGCTGGGCCAGGACACTCTCTAGACTCTGGGACTGCACCCCTTTCCAGGGCCTGGGGAAGGAGGGCAGGTGGGAGGCTGCACTGTCTCTTCTCTGCCCCCTGCCAGGGCCCTGGGGCGGGGGTAGGGGCTGCAGCTCCGGGTCTGCCTGGGGAGAAAGAACCAGGGCTCGGAAATGACGGGAGATGGCTTAGCTGCTGACATCCCCAGGTGCCTGCCGAAGCAGCTCCGGCAGCGCACTCACTCCCATCAGCCCCAGGCTGTTGCAGGAGCCTGGGCAGACTGTCCCCAAGGCCACGGCCCTGGCCTGGCCGGGCCCTGCCCCCGCGTGGCCGGATTTAGAACCGAGAACAGGTCAGGCTTTGCAGAGTCCACAGAGAGAAGGGTGAAGAAGAGGGAACCAGACGTGGGTCCAGACCGCAGCCCAACGTTGCAGACATTTGGGGACTGGGACATGGGGGAACAGGTATGGGCCCCGTGAGGGTGAAACAGGAAGAGGAGTGCTTTTCAGCTTGTTGATACTGAAAGGTTGGAGGGCACTTTTCAAACCTTGCCAAGCTTCAGGGAGTCTTGTGACTGGCTTAGGGGACCTGGCACTGGGGTGTGGGAGTGCTGCCACTAACCTTGGCTTCCTACTGTGGGCCGAGTGGTCCACAGACCAGAGGCCCGTGAGGTGTGGGCTACAGGGACACATCCTTCAGGCTATTCGGTTTTGGAACCGACTTTGTTGCTGGGGTCCAGGGTACTGGACAGAGGACTTTCTCCCTGCCTTTGCCACAGCCTGGAGTCCCACTTGAGACAGGAGCTCTGCCTACACAGCCTTTCAGGCCAGCAGGGAGGTGCTGCTGGAGACCCAGGACCATTTAAACTCTTTTGGGAAGGGGCTGGGTTTGGGACCATGAGCAAGCTGGCCCTCAGTGCTGCAGTAAGCATTATAGCAGGCAGCCAGGAAGCAGGTCACCAACTCCAGGACGCCCCGGAAGCCTTGAGTAACGATACTGCCTGAACTCCCAAGGATACTGGGGACTCCCAGAGCTTAGTGTCTTGGGTGAGAGGGTCCCTTTGCTTGGCTAGGACTCACATCCCCTGCCAACTCGAAAGGCTTGGACTCTGGAGAGGTCTGCATTGTGGCATGTGTGTACCGGAAGGTGCAGGGTCCTAACCAGCCCAGTCACCTGTCCACGCAGAGCCCAGCTTCAGCTTGTGCACTGGCAGGTGGGAATGGGAAGGCCCCGTAGGCCAGGTGCACTGACCCAGACAGATTCTCACTGCCCCCTCTCCCTGGCCCCTAGCCCTATCTGTGCCCCTGAAATTTGGCCAAAGGCTTCCAGGCACTCAGTCTCTGGCCTCAATTGGATTCCAGGTCAGGCTTTGCTCACCCTCCAGTTCCTGCTCAGAAAAAGTGAGTAGCTAAAAGAACAACAGCACACCACCCTTAGTTTACATATGGGCTCTCTCTGGAGATCTGCTGCCCTGAAAGGGTCCAGACTACCAGTCCTCAGCCCACCCCCATCACAGGCTGAGATGGGGGTCTCCCTCTCTAGACACATTCTCCTGCCCTATGTTAGGTGGAAATGTCTCCCAGATTTGAGCAACAGAAGGCTTAGAGACCACCAGGGATGCTTGGGGACAATCTGGTTTGGTTCCCACTCCACGGACACGGAGGTGGTCCTGGCACCCAGCAGGGGGCTCAGTGCAGGCTGGATGCCCTGCCTTCCAGCCCTGGGGCCAATAGCTAGCTTGAGTGTTTGGTCTAGAAAGGGGGAAGGGTTGGGGCATGGACTGTCTCTGGGAGAATTTGTCCTCCCCAGGGTGGCCTCCACACTGTTCCAGAGTGGGTGCCTCAGCTCCAGACCGGGGCCACCACAACCACCCCCAAGGCTCTGGGGTTAATATTCCAGGCCCCCTTTTGCCTTTCTTCCTACGCAGAGCCCAGGGAAGCTGGCTGTGACCCAGCTAACTTTGGAGGACAACGGGGCCCACAGGCTCTGATTTCTGGCCCAGCGAGTTCACAGAGTGGTGTGGCAAGGCTGTTTGTTCCCTGTGCTGCTCACAGTCAAGGTCTCCGGGTGCCCACGACCACTCCCTGCTCTGGAGCGCGTCCTGAGAGCATCGGGGCACTCTCAACCAAGACGTCCCAGGAATGCGAACCATGTAGTCGATTTCGAACAAACCCCAGATGTTTGGAAACCTACTTCCTTCACAGGCAGGAGGACATGGTTCCTTGCAGATGGACAGCCTCTTGGGAGGGCCCCCGAAAGATTTTTCGTCCCTAATCTACATCCCCGAGTCCTGGGTGGGGCAACTATCTCTCCAGAGCGCTCAGATGCGTGCGCGACGGCACCTGGGGCCTGCCACGTGCATTTGGGGGCGTAATCAGGAATATTTTTGTTTGTTTTGTTTTTAATTTAAGAGATCGAAGCTGTGGGCCTGAGCTCCCCATTTGAATTCCCGGGGAGGGAGTTGGCTCCAGCCCGGATCCCGGGCCCAAGCCGGCTGTCACGAAGTGCAGGAAGCCCCCCGAATGTTGCTTCCCCCGGCTGCGCGCACGGTGGCCGGGACTACGCGGCGGCTCCGCAGCGGGGCTCCTGCAGCTGCGCGCGGGCTCCGGCTTCTACTGCGGGAGCAGCGAACCGAATCGTTCCCACGCTTCCTCTCCATCCCGGACCTCTCAACACCCGCCAACGAATGCCGTGGCCGGTTTGCGCCGACGCCGACCCCTGCGCCGGTCCTGCGCCGCCCGGAGCGGGGACTTCGCGCGGCGCTCACGCTCGGGCCGCCCGCCTGCGCGCCGGGAGCCACCGCGTTCCCCCGAGCGCCCGGCCCAGCAGCGCCGCGGAGCTTCGCGCCGCGGAGGTGGTGCCGTGGCTCCGAAGGACGCTACCCGCGTGGACGCGGCCGCCTCCTGCCCCGGTTCCCGCTGAGCTCCCGCAGGGCCGTGGCGGCCACGGAAAGAGCAAGCCGGGTCGCTATCCCGGCGCCCGAGTCCCGGGGCCGCTGCGTGGGAGTCCGCCCTCCGCCTCCCCAAACGCCCCAGACCCCGAGACACGGCCCAGCCTCCTGGTAACTTCGCAGACGCTCCGGGTCGGCCTGCGCCGCGATCCACAGGCCGGCTTGCAAAGCCCCTCCTCTCTGTCCTCTCTCGGCTCTGGTCCCTGCTCCCACACCGGCCACCCTCTTAGTTTGGAAACCGAATTTCGCCTTCGGTCCTGCGGGCCGACAGGACGCAGACGTAACCCGGCAAATGCCCTGCGGGGATTGCTTCCCGCCTCGGCTGCAGCATCTGTGAAGTGGCGCCCCACTTTCCCGCGCCCCTCTCGCTGGCTTCTGCGGGTGGGTCGGAGAACCGACGGACTGTTGGGAACCCTGGAGGGGCTAGCGCAGCCCACACCTGGGGCCGTTTGCCGGTCGAGGCCCAGAGGCGGTGCCCAGACTGGAAGGGCCCCGGCCTGTCCCGCGGTGCATCCCGCGTCCCCTCCAGGGCTCGGTGGAGGGGGTGAGGGTCCAGCCCCGCCGGCTGGGCGGCTCCTCTCCACCCCTGCGCGTTCCTCCGCGCCGCGATGCAGGGAGGCCGAACACCCCAGCCGCCCTACTGTCGGGCCGTACTACCGGGCTCCCCAAACCCCGTGGAGGGCGGATCCGGGGCTGCAGGGGCGAGGACGGGCGGCAGAGGCCTTAGTCCCAGGTGAGCTCCCAGGAGGGAGTACTCCCCCTCTCCCTCCTCCTCCCCACGCTGGGGCGGCGGCTGGTTCCGGGCGCCTGAGCAGGCTAGTCCCGGCCCGTCTGGGCGGGGCCAAGAAGGCGTGACCTTGGGCTTGCGGTCGCCGCACTCCACCCCACGTAAGGGTGACTGCGGGGCTGGGGGTAGGGACCCAACGGGAGGGCCCGGCCGACTGCGCTCTACCCTGGGCAGGTCCGAGGGAGGGAGGGAGGGGAAGGGAAATGCGGTGGCCAAGGGGATGCCCGGAGGGACACCCTCTCCCCTGCCGCCATTCTAAACTAGTACTGAGGGGAGCGGAGCTGATGAAAACCAGGATTGCCTCTGGGGGAGGGAAAACTTACCTCTCCTGCAGAATAACCGGAATCAGGGAGCCCCACCCTCCCTCTGTCTCCCAGGACCCGGCCTCCTGCCCCTGCCCCAGGCGCCTCTGCCCATGACCCTCGGGCTCTAGGAATGGAGCAGGGCCCAGCCTCTCTTGGCTCTGGTGCCTGATGCCTAAACTTTAACACCTGCAGGGCTTGCAGTGTCCAGTTCCCCAGCCCTCCTTCCCTCCTGCATCCTGGAGGAAGCTCCAGTGAAGGAATACCGGAGGCCCAGATGGCAGGAACACACCTGCACCCAGCACAGACCCATGCACCCACTGCAGCCCAGGCCAGTGAAGAGACCTCACTGAGGACCCACTGTGTGCCAGGTCTGTGCTAGGGTGAAGAGGGCAGGGTCCTGGCTGTGAGCAGCTCTTCATTTATGGGACAGACCCCCTCACCCCCAGGAGAGCCACAGAATTAGGATGGGAGTTCAGGGTGGAGAACTCCAAAGGGATTGGGCACATGGCCTTCCCTGTTCCCCTCCAGGCCTAGGTCGAGAAGACAGTCCAGGTGGAGGGTAAAGACAAAACTTTAGGGAGTCAGACCCAACTTCTTCCTGACTCCCTCCTTACGGTCCTTCCCTGCTCTCAGCCCCCAGCTTACTGGGCACCCTGAATTCATAATGTGTAGTATGGAGGAAAACAAGCAGGGTATTGTGGAGACAACTGCATGCAGATGAGGGCTGGCACTTCCTGGGGGGATCTCGGTTGTTGGAGCTGTCATTGGTAGGGATCCCTGCACCCTCTAACTCCTCCTCATCCAGAACCCAGGTCTGTCTAGGAGCTCTGAGTTGGGGTCACAGAAAGGAGCTGCTCACTCCCTGGCTAGACACAGAGGGCAAGTCAGACCAGGAAGAACAGGGCTCCTGGGGACTTCAGATCCCATCACCCATGCAGGTCTTATTGGGCTCCCAGAGCCAGGCCCCACCCTCTCAATCTTGGCCTGCCCTAGTCTCACCTGGTCTCCTGGCACTGGCGATCAGTAGTTCCCCCCTCCCCCCAGGTCTACTCCTCCTCTCCAGGAGGCCGAGGCTCTGGGATCACACTGCAGCAATCTTGCATGCGCTGACATATGGCCAGAGGCCCCTCTATAAGGTGGAGTGCTCCTGGAACTGGCTGTCCTGTAGTACTGGTAAATACAGGGCCTATTTCTCCTCAGCAGACCTGCAGTTCCAGGGCATCTTGTGCCTCTACAAAGCCACAGGGCTGGCCCAAGTTTGGGAGCCTTCGTGAATAAAAGAATGAGTCAGTAATGAATGAAGAGCACTGAGTGAGAAGGAAGTGATCTTTAGATCTGATTTCAGCCCCAAAGACCAGAGGCAATGGGGGGAGCGGTGATCTTACTGGACATCACAGTGGAGGCAGCAGCCCTGCACTGAGCACCTGAGTCTTAGTGACCTGTCCTTCACCTATCCCGACTTGCAAAGGGCTGCCCTGCTTCAGCAGCCTGATCCAGTCCCACGTGATGGGGACACAGCAGTGAGCAAGCCACCCAGGTACCTAGCTGCATGCTGGAAAAGGCAGCTAGCTTGCTCAAGGGGGCCTCTGCGGGATGATGGGGGCAGAGGGTGATGGCAGAAAGAGAAACTTGGTCTATCTGTGGGGCTCCCTGGCTTGCAGTGGTGGAACACAGGTGGCCGGGGCTCCCGTGCCAGGCAGGATGCTGGCCTCTGCCCCACAGCTGGTCTCTGCTGTGTCATGGCACTGTGTGGCCCTCACAATGATCCCGTGTGGTAGGAACTATAATGGTTTGCACCTTACAAATGGAAAACTGGTGCTTAGAGGTACAGGGACATGTCATCAAGGCAGGAGAGTGAGATCCATCTGTCTGACCACAAAGCCCTCCTCCAGTGACATGAACAGCCAAGTGATGGGCTCCAGGGTGTGTGCTCAACAGAGGCACTGCTGCAGAGGGATCTGTGTTTGGAATGCCTTCTTGAGTTTCTTGGCAGTGCCAAGAGTGTGAGCCCCAGAGGGTGTGCTGGCATCGTGGTCACCCACTTGCTCCCGACAACCACCAGGATATTTGTTTGTGGGTGTCCAGAAAGACTGAGCCACTTGCGATACGTATTTCCTCTGAGTCCAGCCCTTGCTGGGAAGTCCAGGTCCCCTTCTCCTTCCCAACACATACCTTCAAGGGCAGACACCCCAGAACTGTTCTTTGGCCCTCACTGGGACAGGCTCCACCATCCCCCCACCTCAGCCGGTGGCTTCACAGGCTCAGTTCAGGGCTAACATGCCAAGCAAGTGATGCTCAGTGTCGAGGCTTCTACCAAGGCATTTCCAATCATAAAAAAATATGTGTCAGTTAAGTGTGTGTTGAGCCTGGACCACATGGGACATAGTTGTTCTAATAAACACGAGTAAGCCAGTTTTCACATTAGAGAAATAACAGTTTCTAGCAGAAATGTGGTGCTGTTAAAAGGGGTTAATTAATAAACAGCAGGTAATTGTTCATGGCACATTGTGGCAGAGAGTAATTTCCATTTTAGAGGATGGAAGGGCCAAATACCCTCCCCACTCAGCATTTTTGTGTAATAATCACCTTGGCTTCACCTCCGCCTTTAATTTTTACAGCTGGAGCTGTTTACCATCTTCCAACTTTCACTAAAAAGGAAAAACCATCGCTTAAACAAAGCCATTGAGAACTCAGCATCATATGTGGATTTCTTAACATAAATAAATCATACAAACCAAGATTTATGTTCTCCGAATGATGTCATTCATTGAAGGCTGCCTTCCCGATCAGATCAGCCTCTGCCGATTTCCTTGTGTGTGTGCGCGCGCGCGCGCTTTCTGCAAAACAAGGGAGGCAGTGCTGGCCTCGGCCTCACCACTCCTGTCTCTCTGCTCAGCCCAGGACTCCAGCAAGGCCTGCCTACATTCGCCCAGGTTCTTACCATTTCAACCCCATGAATCGCTGTAAAGCTTTGCTTCTGAACAGTAAGTTCGGAGGCTGGAAGACTGTTCAAGCTTCCCGGAGAATTTCTGCAGACCCCAGTGGGAGCTGAAGGTCCTTTGGCTTCTCCAGAGTCTCCAGTGATGCTGGCTACAGAGGAATCACTTTGAAATGAATGAGGAACAGAAAAAAATCACCTTTAATGGGGGAATGAGATATGGTTTACCCTTACCATGGAGGAATCTATGGTCATAAAAAGGAACAAAGTCCTGCCACACGCTGCAACTTGAATGAACTCAACATCATTCTCAGTGACAGAAGCTGGTCATGAAAGGCCACGTGATATATGAGTCCATTTATATGAAGTATCCAGGATGGGCAAATCCATAGGGAGAGAAGTTGGATGAGTGGTTGCCAGACACTGGGGCAGGAGTAAGTGTGTGTTGGGGGGTGACTGCTCATAATAGATGTGGGGCTCCTTCTAGATGTGATGAAGATGCTCTGGAACCAGCTGGTTGAGATGGTTGTACAACACTGTGGATGTATAAATACTACTGAGACGTTCACTTTAAAATGGTCAATGTTGTGATATGTGAATTGTATCTCAATACACCTGGCATTAAAAGATCACCCCTGAGCATATTTGTTTAAAAGCTTCGTGCTCAACTTTAAATCCTTATTGGATTTGGAACTGAGCATATAGGGAGAGGAGTGTACAAGATGTCTGTGTGCAGCGTGAAAGGGATCACGTGAGCGCTGGCCCAGCACCTTGGGGAAGTCCAAATACATGACCATATTCCTATCTGTGCATCACCCCCACCCCACAATTGCATCCCCTTCCCACCAGCCCAGGGTTAAGTGTTACCGGGCTTTTTGTGTTAACCATCTTCTTGACTCGGTTTAAGCTTCACCACCTAATACAGATCCCTGGAAATGTGAGTCTGGCTGCAGAGTTTAATCAGGTTGAAATGAGTGAGGAGCATTAAAATCATCGCAAAGGGTAGGTGACATGTGGTCCATTCACACCTGTGGATTGTCATTTGACCACTGGAAAGAATGGGACACTGACACATCTGCAAACGTGGTGCTTAGTGAGAGAAGCTAGTCACAAAAGGCCACGTGTTGTACGACTCTATTTATATGAAGTGTCCAGATCTGAGAAAGAGCAAGCAGGTTGCTGGTTGTCTGCCTAGCTGTGGAAGGAAAGGTGGTGGTGGCTTGGGCAGGTGAAGGTTTCAAGGGATGAGCCAGATCAGAGTCTAGCTCTCCAGCCCCTGGATTTTAACAGAAGACCCTCAGTCGGAAGCCAGGGGGAATTTGGGCTGACTAGTTACAGCCTGGACCTTTTATTAGTTCAAGCAGCATACATTCCCTGCACACCTAGCATGTGCCAGCATGGCCAGAGCCCCAGGGAAGAAGCCGTGGCCAAAACAGACACAGGCATCCTCCCCACGGAGCTCATGTTCTCACAGGGGAGGCAGCAGTGAGCAGGATACTTGAGGACTCTGCAGGGCAGGTGCAAAGTCTCTGCATGCTACTGGGGATAATTTAGGAGGGAGATGAGGTGAGGAGCATGGCCAAGAAAGACGTCTCTGGGGTGGTGGTGACATTTGAGCAGAGACGTGGCAAACTGAGACAAGAACACTGGGCGTGTCTAGGGAACAACATTTGGGCATAGGGAACATCCAGTGCTGAGGCCCTGAGGCACAAGTGGCCAGGTGGCTGGAGCAGAAGGAGGGAGGGAAGGGGGGCAGGAAATCAGTGCAGGGGGATGGGGGTGAGGTGGTGCAGATGAAGCCTGAAGATGGAGTTAAGACAGTCAATGAGCCAACCTTGAGGTAGGGAGTTCATCCGGTATGATCCTGGTGGGCTCGATAGAGTCACAAGGGACATGACATGTGGTAGAGGGAGGCAAAAAGAGTCAACTGGCTTTGAATTGGATGAGAGTCCCAAGCCAAGGAATGCAGGTGGCTTTCTGCAGCCAGAAAAGACAACAACTGTGTGCTAGACCCTCCACACAGGAAGCCAGCCCTGCAAATCTTTCGATTTTTGCCCAGATTTTCCATCTGCAGAACTGCAAAATGGTAAAGTGTGCTGAGTTCAGCCACTGAGTTTGTGGCAATTTGTCACAGCAGCCATGAGAAAATTCACACAGGCAGCAGGGGAGACAGGGACTTCATCCACACGTGGTCAGGACAAGCTAGGGTCAGTCACTGCAGGGACATTGGCAGTGGCTGTCCTCACATGCTGCTCCGATGGGGACCGGCTGTCCTCCACATCCCTCCTGTCCTCCTCATCCCAGCCGTGGTCATCACTCCAGGAGCCGAAGCTGCCACCCCATGTGGGCTTCCCCTGGCTCATTCACTCCCCCGTGCCCGCGTTATCTTGGCTTACTCTCCTGTCGGTGGAGCACATCCTCTAAGAACTTCTCATAAACCAGGAGATACATTTTTGAGGAGCATGCATGTCTGAAAGTGCACTTATTCCTCCACCCCCCGCCCCGGAGTGATAGTTTGGCTGGGTGTGGAATTCTAGACTATAGATGCTTTTCATCCGGTACCATAAGAACATCGCCCCTTGTCTTCTTGCTTCCAGAGTAGCCAATGAAAAGTGAGGAGAACCCATTCCCTTGTGGCTTGTGTGCTACCTGCGTTTTCGTCTTGGGAATCCTACAAAATCTTCTGTGTCCCAAGCATTCTGCTGTATCCAGTGCTGCACTCTGGTGTGTGTCTGGTTTCCTCCACTGTGGGTTCTTTCAATCTGGGAGCTTATGTCTTTCAGTTCTGGGAAGTTTTCTGGAAATATTTTGTTACAGATTTCCTGCCCCCTATTTGCTCTGCTCTTTGTTTTTCGAAGCTGATGGTTACTATGATGTTTCCTTCTGTTCACGTGCTCTGTGTATGCTCTGTGTATCCTCCAGGTGGCTTCGCTCTATTCCTTTTAGTCTCCTGTGGATCCTTGGTCACCTGTTCGTGATCTGAAGCAGGGAGGATAGAGTTGGTTGGAAGATCTGAGGTAAGGGAGAACTTGCTGCATTTGACACCCACAGGAGGGTGATCCTGGAAGCACTGGGTGTCGGCATCCTTAGGGACCACTCTGAGGCCCAGGCAGGTTCCTCCGGGGAGTGAGGCAGGTCCAGTTGCTGGCATTCTGGGGGCCAAGTTGAGATCCCTGCAGTCATTATCAAGTCATGGCTGCCTGCACTCTGGGGAATAGGCCTTTGGACATTTGCTGACCTGAGAAGGGGGGCAGGGAGCATCTAGGCATCTGTCTCCCTCATGACCTCGTTTCATGCTGTCTTCTTGATGGCAGCCATTCCTGCATCCCTCGTCTCAGGCTTGCTTTCATGGCCACTCCTGAGTTTGGGATGCTCTTGTATTAAATACAGTAAAATCCTACCTTCCACACTCTCTGTTCAGAGCTGTCACTCTGGTCTGTGAGCCAGTCACCGTGGGTCCATCTGCGAGTGGGCTTTCAAAAATCTGTGGCTGATTTGCCCTTGCCTGTCCTCTCCACCCTCATGGGTAGATGTCTCTTAAAATCTCTTTTCTGTGGTTGGAGTGGGCTTTGCAGAAGGAGCATATGTGTTGTGTTTAATCCACCATCTGCACCCGGCACCTTTCAGGGCCTCTGTGTCATTTCCACTCCCTCTCTTAGTTTCTGTGTGGCTATTTTAGAAAGGCTGTGTCCATTTGCTGTGCGGGGTCCAGAGGCTCAGAGTGAGGTTTTCTGGGTCCTGACCAGCAAATTCCCTGGAGATCCCATCACTATGGAACATTCCAGCCACAAAGAGCTGAGCCACATCTGTTGGTCCAGATGTGGCATGGACTGCCATGTAGATAATGACATGATGTAGACGTGTGCGTGTTGCCCATACTGATGTGTCCCTGAAACATGGGATGGGGAGGTACCTTTAGGAATATGAATTTAAATATTAACAGTGATCTATACTGAGCAATGAGATTTCAGGGTACTATAACTTTTTTCTTTATTATACTTAGGTAAATTTCAGTTTTTCTCCAGTGACTATATGTTAATTGTGTAATTGTTACAATGTTTAAAATTAAGAACAAAATGTTTCCTGTCCTTCAAGAGCTGGCTTAGATGTCATTACCTCCCAGAAACTTCTCTTGATCTCACTGTTGGTAATGCTCCCCTCACCCCACATGTGAGATGGGCATTAAATAAAACCTTATTTTCCAAATATCAATTTAATTTCTGAATTTAAGCCTCTTTTCTCTCAGGACGACTCTTTTCTCTATGGATGACTGGGGACATGCTATGAGCTTAGGACTCAGTTTCTCAAGTTGTTCTGATAGGGTTGGGGCATCTGGCCCCAGGCTTCAAGCCTGAGGTGGCAGGGTATGTAGGAATGCCAGCTCTGGGGTGAGCATCACTATGGCCTGGGTGCATCACAGCCTCCCTGTGCACGGGGGCTAGTCACACCTGCTTGGGCCCTAGTCTCCCCACTGCAGATGTGAGAAACTTGCCTGCCTCTGGGCTGCTGTGCCCAAAGGTCCTGATGTCTGAGGAAGACTGGAGTGGGGTGCAGAGCATGGAGCCCAACCCCTGCCAGGCTAGGCTTTTTGTTAGTTTCATTCATAATTGTGGTACAATACACGTAGAATTGACCATCTTAACCATTTTCAGGTGTCCAGTTTGGGACATTAAGCACATTCACACTGCTGTGCAGCCACCATCACCCATCCACAAACCCTTTTTGTCTCTCTAAATCATAACTCTGTCCCCCTGAAACCTTGAATTCCCAGCTGCCTCCCAAGCCTCTGGTGCCCACCTTCCCACCTTCCTTCTCTGGGGATCTCCAAGGAGCGTGAGGACATGGAACTTGTCCTGTGTGTGGCTGATTTCTCTCAGCACAATGTCCTTGGGAGGGTCCATCCCCAGGGTAGCATGTGCCCAGCTTCATTCCTTCCTAAAGCTGACTACTATCCCACATCATTCATCCATCCAATCACACTGGATGCCTGATTGCTTCCACGTTGCCATGTTGTTCTCAATGGTGTTTTCTCGTGCCTTGTTGGCATGGGATTGCTTTTGCTCCTCTGCCCCAGGCTTCCCTGCATAGAAAGCTGTGGACTTCTTCAGCAGGGGGCCTCCTTGGAGGACCTCTCTGGGGGGACAGGTTCTCCCTCTCATATTTCTGCCCTCTCCCTCCTGACACTGACCTCCCTGAGGCCACATGAGTCTGATCTAATTCCCCCCGCCCCCATGGGTGTGGCATGGGTGCCTCCTCAGAAGACCCCACTCATCACAATGCAGACAATTTGCTTTTTATTTGAGATCTTACTCACTTTTTACCTGAGGCTGAACCCTGAGGGTTGCTGGGGCCCCAGTTGCTCCCAGGTCCTTGACTTTCCCCTAGTCCTGGACCCCAGGAGGACACAGGGGCTGGAGCAGAATGCCATCCAAGTGCTTGAAGGCAGAGACTAGCCTCCACCCACACCCTTAGAATCAGGTGTGCTTCCCCAAAGATGGCCAGGCTAGCCAGAGCCAGGGTTCCAGGGTTCCTGACATTTCCTCCCAGGGAGACCCCCGGGCAGTAGGAACCCAGCACCTGCTCCCACTCTTAACCTCAGGCCAGCTCCTCAGACTCAGGTA